TCAAAAACAGTACTTGTGAGCAATCATTCAGAAAATCAAAATACTCATTAGCCCGCAAACTAACTCACCTTTGACAAAACTGTAACTTGATATTATCATCGATGATAAGTATTACCCAAAAGTCGAATAGCTGATCTTTTCTCAAGAGCTCGCTCGTATCACTTCCATCGTTCTTACCTAGACAGTAGAAGATTGTAGCGGAAAAAAGAACACAGGCAAAGACGAAATGCAAACGTAAATGAATAAGAATAGCCTGGACGAATGTCAGGCACTGAGATAGTTGGAATGGCAGTCAGCAGGAAGGCTGGGTCACTGTCGTCTACACCCTATCGACGAGACAGACAGCGACGAGTTCGACTGAGGTACACGCGGGTGCAGACGAGCGGAAAAGATGCTGGTCGAAAGCCCAGCCTCGCTCATTGCTTCATCCCATTACTATATAGTGCAGTTCGAGCGGTGTCAGGCGGGATGAGTTTGGCGCGGTGCCAAACCCGTTCTGCCAACAGTTGTTAAAGCGAGCCAATGATATGACTGTATCACATCATTCGCGCGCTTCAACTAGAAGAAAGAGAACGGCTTAGACGAGGTGACACACTCATACTGCCTGACACGCCCAACCATGCAGCTGACTAGAGTGTACATTTTATCGTTAGCACCGCACAACGTCCCGTAAAACACAACTTGCTAACTATTTAGCAAGAAATAAACCAGTCAAATACTCACTTCCACTGTTCTGTCTCGAATACCGCTCGAATGCGGGAATATCCTCGACCTGAATGCATCCAGAATTATTCGGAATACAATAAAAGGGTGATTAATCATGACGAAGGGGATCTCCTCGATTTCTCATAGAACACTTAGTCGAAAGTTCAGGAGGATCAAGATAGATTTTAGTGAAATCCATGTTGCTGTCCATATTCTGGGCACTTACACTCCATAACATGTAGATGGGGAGGGCGTGGCTGCTCATTTCTTTTGACAAGGCAGCAGCTGCACTTTTGGTGAAATATCGCCGTTTTGGGGCAGTTGCAATGATGCCGTTGCACAGTTGTCTCGAAGAGAAATATTCCATGAAACCACGCATCCTACGCCATGTTCAAATGAAGTGCATACGCAGTCACGCCCTCTCCTTCTGGGATATGGGGTGTACTGGGCGCGAGTTACATGAATTTCCACTCTCATCGCATGTACATTCCTATCGCGCAGACATGGCAGCGGCTTAACCCTCTCAACATAAGTGATGCTCACCTGACAGCAGTAGTACATATTGGAATCTCCCACTCGTCGCAGAACACAGTATTCCAAGAACATCTGATTCATTCTCTCCTATAAGCGCTTTAGTCAAATTATGCAAATCACTATGTATGTCATGACGATGTATTTGTACAAAAAGCAACGAAAGGATACACTGGGAGTTCAGAATCCACCAGAAGGACGATGATTCTATAATTTTGGGACATGCGAGTTCTCACTAGCAGCTAAGGTTTGCAGCTGGCTGCCCAACTATCTATACTACAGTGGAACCTTTGAAACACCTACCTTGAGACGATTCACCGCTTCCGGACATTGTATCACTAAAGGACAACGGCGCAAGCGTGTTTCGATCTGGCCAGATTTGAACTAAAATGCGCATGAGCTCAAAACAATTGCTAACTTCACTAACGGAAATATTATACCTACCGCTTTCTCTCTTGTATACTCATGATCTATATAGGCCGAGATTTTCTTTATTTTCTCTTCAGTTATCTCCAACTTTCTGCTGTCCATCAGCACCATTTCCAATTCGACAAGACGATTTAGCCGATTCATCAACTCGCCTATCACCAGTCTTTCCTGAAATCCTCACGCGTTTTGTTACCTTTCTTATAGTTGGAGTGGGTTTCGTTGCAGCAACTCCAGCTGGACCATAGAACCTGTTTCCACGTCATCCATAACTTCCAATTCTTCCAAGGAGGACGGTTTAATCAAGACATGCCGTACCCTGGGGCTACCTCAGGACGAAGAGATGGGGTCGTACTTAGCTACGAGTGAGGGGATCGTGTTTAGCTGCATACAGAGGAGGCTGCTGTACGGAGGCAGGAAGAGGGGGGGCAAGAAGGAATTGTATTAGGAGAATAAAAATGGGGTGTTTGCGATGGAGTATGAACACCGCGGCGTCGCTCCCATTCGCGATGCCTGTAGCCTGCAACTCGGGTGCCCACACATCCGGGCAGAGAACACTGGCCGATCACTGAACCAGCATTATTCTTGTTGGAGCAACTTCAATGTTTCGAAATTACTTATTAGTAAAAACACTTATAAGCTTTTTTCAGGCGGAGCTCCTTGTTGAATCTTTTGGAGAGCTTTCTCCCGCAACCCTCCTCAGAATAGGAGCAGCTCTACACCCGAATTAGCAGGTCAAAAAGAAGAAAATGGGGGAGATCTCAAGCCTTGATGCTGCCTGCTCGTTCCTTGAACCTGTCATACAAAGGCAGGTTCCATGAACGAGCATGGCAGCAGATCCTCGCCGATTTTTTTTCCATTTTAATAACTATCCCAGGCGCTGAAGCTGCTTCCATGTTCTCAGTGGTGAGAACTCAGGCGTTCTAACCTTCTTTGGCATCTTTTCAAGAAAGCGTATCTGCCGTTGTGTATGAGTATCTTCGTCTGTATCCGTGTCACTCTCTTCATGTGGGTGATTTTTCATTATCTTCTCGCTCGGCCACGTCATCACGTATAGATCCAGACGGACCACCACGCTGTTTACATCTGAAAACCACCGAGTCAACTATTCAGTAAATTGTAATTGAACTTAAACCTTCTTTTACAAGAACTGACACCTGACATACCAATTCCACTGTCCCCTTGTTGTATACCTCCTCGAAGTACTTCTTTAATACACGTTGGCAGGAAAGTCACCGGGAAGGTATCCATCGACCCATCTGGGTACTCAACCGAACACATGAAGTAGATGAACAACGGATAGTCGCGGCTATAGCCAAGCTGAAAGTTTGATGTTCTTCCAACGTAAATGATACTCAAAAGCGAGCGAGCTTTGACGGACTTTTTCGTTTGCACGAGCAGGCGTTCAGCAACTGTCCCAAGACGTACAGGAGCAAATCTAGCGAGTCAAGGGAATACAGGCAACGCGTTTTCTGGAGCGATACCTCCACCCATCGTGAAGAGACAAGTAGAGGTAACTCAGCTAGGTAGTGGACACATGAACCCGTAATTTAATGTGAAAAAGAAATTTCGTTCGGAGAATTCGCTCGAACTAGGGTGAAACTGTTAGATCCCTGCGGCAGAGTTAAAGACAGCCCCCGCGCACAAGTATGTACATGGTCTTCCTTCCTTGTGCAAGTAGTACAGCCCGCAAGCTAGAGACTGTCCCACTCTCGCAGCTTCGCAGCGTGCCGTAGTGTTCCTAGTTGTCGAGCTAGCACGCGCGCTGAAAGTTCTAGTTCTGAGGGCGCGCGCCAAGTTGGACCACCCACTTTTGATAGATGCCTGCTCCTTCACAAGGAGAATCGTCACCCAGTTCTTTGTTGGGGCGGCGGGCATTAATCGGAATTGCATATCCTTTTTGCTGACTGCGCTCGTGCTCGTGAGCAATTGTGCTCTCCTTTATTACATTTCATTCATTAGGAGCACATACAGGGGGGGCCAAAAAAAAGTCATTTCGGCCGAGCCACATATCAACGAAGTTTTCGCAGCCCAGACAGGGGAAGTGGATATGAGTACCAGAGTGGAAGATACCCAAAGATCTTCCTCTATAAGCTGGAGCACGCTGCCGCCAATCGCCTTCATGTACGCCAAAATATGAAGTCATCTCCAGTCGCGGCCTGACTGGAGAACACCTTTGGAATTCACGTCGCCTCCAAACAGCTGCGAAACTTCTTGAATGAAGTCATCCACAGATAGCTACCTGGAGGTCAGTACTCTTGATCTGCAAGACCTCCCACATCGATCGAGCCTACGGCACGTCGCTACCGGTGCTAGGACATGCATCTTCAGCCGTTATTTCGGCCGAAGGCCGCGAGTTGAGTGTATGGACCGGGGTACCATAAGAAAGGGGAAGTACGCGATATTTTGCTTTGTAGACCCGACTGAAGTGAGCGCTTTTGCGCGGTTACATCAAGCGACTTCGAGAGAATATCCTCCCACATGTTGTCGCTCCGTACCTTCTTGGAGACCGTGTACTGCTACAGGTTTTGGTGCCACCACATGGAATCGAAGGGTTTTGGAAAAACTCTCTCCTACTTCGAATGAAAGGGCGCTTCGTACCTGAAGAAGATGCAATATTGAAGTATGCCCCCTGACCTGAATCCCCTCAATTACCTGGTTCGAGCGGAGTTCGATAGGGTGGTCTACGGTGGCGGAGAAATCGACTACCTCGCTCAACTCCGGTACCCACCCACTTTCGCGCGGCCGAATCTCTCGATGGCGCTCCTCCAGAAGGCTGTGGCGGAGTATCATTATAGTATTTAATGTGCTCTTTAATATGGTAGTAAAAATGTCCGATAAAAATTTAATAAAGTGTAACTTATAGCGCCTTGAAAGTCATGGAGGCAAAATGACTTTTTTTTTTTGGCCCCCCCTGTACAATCAACTCCAACCCCGCAAGGTGAAACGCGTAAAAATCACGAGCGACCCAATTTTCGTAGTGCAAAAGTTCGACGCACTACACTACATTAAAAGGTGCACGCTACCGTAATCCTAAATGAAAAAAGCCGAAATTTTGAAAGTTTCCTTTTTTTCAAGAGTTTCACATTCGTGTTTTTTTTTTTGTTTCTCGTATTCTTTTCTTCGCATTCGAATGATATCCACTACTGGGAGATGTGATAAAGGGATTTGTGAGCCAGGGGTTGCACAGAGACCGCAGGGAGGTGTGACTGTCAGGGAGCGATTTTGTTTATGGTGTTCTTGAGGACTCTTCTTGTTTTTCTTCTTTGGGGAATTACTTATCAGCTACTGTTTCATAATTGAAAAGCAACTATGGCACTTTTATCGCGGGAGCTGTCTTTAAGGCCTTTTGCACGATCAGAGCGCCTTAGAACCGAACACAATTCTACTTCATATTCCGAGCGTCAAGAAATAGGTCCTCACCGCTCTTGACTGCTTATCATCACCATTCCTATGCTTTCCATTCTCCTTTTCCGCATTCAACGCATGTCTCAACCGAAACTGATCGACTGGCCTGTCAGCTCTTCGCAACGATCCGGTCGACGAGACTGTATCATCCGGCAAGCGAGCATCACCTGAAACCACACGAAAGGAGTTCAGTTATATTCCAGCAAGTTCAAGCCCCTTAACCAGGGTACAGCATCGTGATGTGTGAAATGGTGGTGCCAGTACCACCTTCCGACCTCCCACCTCTCGAGGAAGGGTCTCGGTAGCCCCCCCCCCTCTTCCCCAACACCCACTCACCATTTTCCCCCCACATTTTCCAGTTTTTCACCTAGAGTTTCCGTCGGGGCAAGGGACATACAGGCAATGTAAAGCAGGGAAATTTCTTAGATTTCCCCAACTTCCTAGCACTTTTCCTGGAATTTCCCGGGGATTTTTCTACTTTAACCCAAAATTGTGCTGTGGAGCGGAGGGGGGGGGGGAGGGTCAAGCGAGAAGCCAACAACCGGGTTCCAACGAGGCAGTTTTCTGTCAAAGCCACATACGACTCCCGCCTCTCCCATTAACAACCAAATACGACCCCCCCAGCCGTAAAGTACAAGTACGAACGATAGGATGCTGTGCCCTGCTCTTAACTGCGGCATAACGATTCCTAATGCCCCATTGGTGTAACACTTACTCAGTTTCCTGTCAGCAACCACAGTGTCACATCCTCGAGGTGTTTGATCACTGAACAGGCCTTCGAAGAACGCCAACTCGGATTTCCCAGGGAATCTCGCATCGCTTTCTTTGCTGCAACACGTAAATCGGTATGTGCCTTTCATGCTGTTGCGTAATCATTTTATCAAGATTAACTCGTGTTACAAAAATAAGAAGGACATAAAAGAGATTGCTCAGGTGGGAAAAAGAAGAATTTTTAGCGTAGTTTCACCTCCCAAAATGTTAAACTGATGATAATCAGGGTGTGTCAACCTTTTTATAACGTGACTATAAAATCTCACTGTTGGGGTGTGTAGTAGAAGTACGGTAGTCCGGGAACTTGCTTGAATGTGCCACGAAGCATATTCGAAAAGTTCAGCTGAGCTTTACTTTCACCACAATACGACGTTTTTGAATGACGATGTCCCTGAAACATGACTCCATTTTTCCTAGCTTCTAGAACTCCTCAATCTTCAGATTCAATTTTTACGATTTCTCTATGTTTCTAAAACTTAATGGAACTCCAGGACGCTGCCGAATGGCATATCCTAACAAAATTGTACCAGCTTCTTTTCTATGTACTTGTAAGGCGATAGATATTCCGACAGAACGCTACAAATTGCTTCTACATCCTGCACATCTTTTGGTTCAGCTTGGGAGGGGCATACTCATTTTCGAAAAAAACCTCTTCGTATTTCAAGCGAACTAATAGGTCCGCTGTGGTGAGACTTAAAACCCTGTGAAACTCGAAATCCTTCACGTGGCCTCGCTCAGTCACTAAGAGGGCAATAAGAAGGAAATACGCAGCACAGCAGCTGCATATGCCATATGATATTCACCCTTCCATGGAAACAAATCTCTCCAGCCTCTCATCCT